AGATCCGGGCCGCGCCCTCCTGGCCCTGCGCGGGGCCGCGCGAACTCGGGGGCGCCCGTGGCCGCGGCGCTGGGTTCCCCGATTCCCCAGCAAGACCGCAGGGGCGTGTGCCGCCCACGGTGGCCGCAGCCGGAGCCCAGGCCGCCTCACTCACCCCGCCATGGCCGCGCTCGGGCTCCGCCTCCGCCGCCCGGGCCCGGGCGCCTCCATCTCTGCGCGCTGGGGGGAGGCGCGGAGCGCGCGCAGGTCACCATGACTAAGCAGAGCCGGGCGCACGCCGTTTCACAATAAAAGTCCCCACGGCCCCTGGCCTCGGGCGGCGGGGACAGGAGGGGGCCTCTCCCCACTCCCCCGCCCCGCCCGCTGTCGCCAAGCTACGCGGCCCCAGAGCTGCGACCACAGCGCCCGCCATTGCGACGCGGCGGGGCGGGAGACCTCGGAGAGACTGGCACCCACCCGCGTGCCTGGAGTCAGAGCCCCGGGTTCGAGGCCCGGTGCGCCCTACCCTCTCCGTGGACACCCCTCTCCGCCGCCCCCGCTAGCTCGCCCACCTTACCCCCGGTGTCGGCTCCGTAGATGTCCTCGGAATAGGGATGCCCAAGGCCAGGCGGAGGCTCTGGGCACAGTGGTGCCACCCACACGCAGCGTTTCCGGAAAACCCGAGGGTCCGAGGCCTGGTCGGTGGCGACTCCAGCTTAACTTCTCAGTGTGGGACCAACTGTCGGGGGACCTGTCCTGGAACCACTCCACAGTGGCCGTCGGGTGGGGGGTATCCACCCGAAGCGCGGGAAGGAGGCGGGGAGAGGGCGGAAAGGGCGCGGCGGGGTAGAAGAGGCGATTCCCCGCCTTCCCCGCAGGTGCCAGTCCTCCAGGAGCCGGGCATCGAGCTAAGCTGGCCTGGCTTATGCCCACTTCGTGTTGTCCTTTCCATCCATCCAGATTCGTCCCAGGGCAACTCCACCACCGGCTCTTCTCCTTTTTACTCCACACAGCCCAGGCCTGAGTCCGGCAGCCTCATGATCCACCTAGAATTATCTACCTTGTTGGGTTTTTGTCGTCTACCCTAGATCTGCCTCTCCACAGCTCAGTGCCTTTCGCCCGTTCCTTAACCTCTCTGTGCTTCAGTTTCTTCCCTAATAAAAGGATACTAATAATAGCACCTATCGGCTAAGTGAGAATGCTAAGGCCCAATAAATATGAACGGTTGATATTTTTATGGTGAGAGATTMTGGATTATGGTAGCCGTTTATGGGGCTACCCTGAGCCAATTGGCCATCCTTATAAAGTTAACTTGTAATAAAAGTACTTAAATTTATCTTAAAAGAGATCATCTAAACGAAGAGAATAATAAAAGGAAACGTTAGRTGGAATAAGAGATGCTGATTTAAATTAAAAAAAAAAAAGTATTCCTGGAGCATCTGGGGGAATGCGGTGGACTCACAATTTGTCTGTACTCCCAGAGACTACCTCTAAACTACCCAGGGGTTAGGGTGGAGTCCCACCTCCTGCACACCCCATCGCACACTCCTTGTGTGAAGCTGCAGTTCCTGACATATCCAGAGGGGGAGACCTAGCGGATGCGCCGAGTGGCAGGAGTTGGAACCAGCAGGCTCCTGGCACATCCACCAGGACATCTTGTTATCACTCAAAAATCAAACCTACAGCCCTGTGAACCAGCGGTAGACATTTGTCTACCAGTACTGTATGTGCACAAACATTTGCAGTATAATGTATCAGGATTGGACTCAACCCCTATGTACCTTCAGAACAATGACTTAATAGGAGATGGCACATCCATGCTGAGACTTAGTACACAGCCATTTAAAAGAAGTAAAACATTTACTATATGGACATTTATCCCTATTTAAGGAAATGTAAGAAAAGACCAAGTATCATGGACTGAATTACACACTCTCTGCCCATTCATGTGTTAACCCAGTGGGATGATATTTTGATACTTCGAGATAGGGCTTTTGAAAGGTAATTTGGTTTTGATGAGGTCATGAAGATGGGACACCCTCATGATGGGATTAGACTATTGCCTTTTAGTTATTGTTGTTGTTGTTGGGGGGAGGGGGTTGAAGACAAGTTCTTGCTAAGTTGCTCAGGCTGGCCTCAGACTTATGATCTTTCTGCCTCAGCCTCCCAAATAGCTGGGATTACAGCCCTGTGCCACTGTGTTTGGTGGATGGGTGCCCTTCTAAGAACAGATCTTGCAGAGAGAGATCTTGCTGTCTCTGCCATGTGAAGATGTGGTGAGGATGTACTGATTTGCAAACCAAGAGAGCTCTCACCAGAACTCAACCAYGCTAGCACCCTGATCTTGAACTTCCTAACTTCCAGAACTGAGAAAAATAAATATGTGTTATTTAAGCCCTCCAGTTTGTTATGGATTTGTTATGTGTTTGCTATGGCAGTTCAAGCAGACTAAAACAGCAAGATCCACATGTGTGGATCATGGGGTGCAGCAATGAGAGCCTGTAGCTCCAGCACTGGGGAGGCTAAGGTGGGAAGGTTGCTTGATCCCAGCAGTTCAGGGCTAGCCTGGGCAACATATCAAGAACTGGTCTCAAAATAAATAGTTAAATGATGTTTCCAAGACATGCTATTAAGTGAACAAAGCAAGATGTAGAAGTGTTGAGAGCCACAGCCCAGTCTGAATGACGCCTGGCATTTGCCAGAGGGAATGGTTGAAAGTGACTGCCAGCGAACCATTGAGATGATGATTTGAATTAAGCTATATATAATTTTGCTGTGATGCTGGATTGATTGAATTGTATATTTGACCTTTACTGTAGGGCAATAGGGTGGCTCTTGCTGCCTCGGCTCTTGCTACTTTGGAGTTCCCGGGCAGTTCTCCGGKGGTTCGGAGAGACTGGACGGAGCCTGGTGGAGGGAGTGTGTTCCTGAGTGGTGTGTGCAGTGCCGGTCAGAGTTGGGGAATAAAGAGTTGCTGTTTGAATCTACAAGGCTTTGTGGCAGCTCGGTTATTTGTGCCCAGCCAGACAGCAGCATTGAAGAGTGATAAATTGGTGTAAGAGAGAGAAGAGAGATGTTTGCATTTCAGTTCTTTTATCCATAGACTAGGTCTGAAATTTCCCCAAGAATCCCAACAGTGATCAACAGTGATGGTAACCCAGAAGGGGAGCTGAGTGCTTTTCTAATGTATTTTTTKGGGGGGTTGTTTTTGTTTTTTAATTTATAAAYCCCCTATCATCATACCACCAACAAAGGGAACCAGGGTGGGGTGTCCAAGGAGGTCTTGGATTCTCCTTGAAGATTAGAGAAGCCTACCGGTAGGGGTTCTGGGAGAGACCTAGGACTGTGACCTCGGTTTTGGGTATACTCGTGTTCCAGGAAACATGTTAGTTGTACACGCATATGGCCTGAAGAAGCAGCTTGAGCGGGGCTGGCAGAAATGTTCCTCAAGGGCTGGGGATGTGGCTCAAGCKGTAGCGCGCTCATCTGGCATGCGAGCGGCCCGGGTTTGATCCTCAGCACCACATACCAACAAAGATGTTGTGTCCGCCGAAAACTAAAAAATAAATATTAAATAAAAAATTCTCTCTCTCTTTAAAAAAAGAAAAAGAAATGCTCCTCAAGACAGTCAGCGACCCCTACATCACGGGTCTCTGTGGCTGCCTGCAATACCAAGGCCTCCCAGAAGATGGCGCACGTGAATCTAAACTCCAAGCCAGACGCCCCCTCTCCGCCCCGGGGCCAACCCCCTCAATGCAGCGGTCAGGAATGTGCCTGGGGACTAGCCGGGCCCAGGGTCAGAGCGCCTAAAGCCTTTTATGGACACAAACGGGGCCCTGTATCTCCCCCAAGCAAGAATGTCGACCCTAGGGCGGGGGCGCATTGGCCTGGTCTTGCCAGACCCATCCAGGGGCCAGATAACGGGGTTGGCCTCCTCCCGCCTGGGGGCCAGACAGCCTGGGCTAATCATCTGGTCAGGACACTGGGGAGAGGTGCTCACTGCTTGGAGTTTCTTTATCTGTAAAATGGGGAAAAGGACAGCTAGTTTACAAGGTTACAATACGGTGAAAAAATAAGTGATTCCCGGCCATAGCACAGTGGAGGGGACTAGCCAAGCGTTATAAACTGTAATCACTCATTTTATTGCAATTTTATTTTTAATGAATTATCTGACACTACACTCAAAGAAATTTTGTTGTCAGGATTTGGCTGAGTCTCCCAGAATCRAATGTTGGGATGCCCTGCTCTTGGCATTGCTCCTGACAGCTTTCTTTCCCTCTTTCTCACACCCAATTTTTCAGGAATTCTGTCTGCTACCTCCAAAATCTATCTAGAATTCACCATGTGTGAGCATAGTGGGGGTCTCCCTCATTACTCCTWTGGGTCAGTGCTGTCCCTTCACCTGTTTCTGCCTTCCACCTTTGCCCTCCACACTGGCCATAAGGTGCCTGTGAACACCTGAATCAGGGCCAGTCCTTTCTTTGCTTAGAACCCCTCCTGACTCTAACTTCCTTTAGAGCAAAATTCCAGGATCCACAGGGTCTTCTACATTCTGCCCAGTCACTTCCTGTTTTTGTTTCCTCCCATTCTCTCCCTCTATCTGCTGCTCTGCCCACATGGAGATCCTAGCTTTTCATAGAATACATGGGCACATTCCAACCTCAGGATCTTTGCACTTGCTGTTTTCTCATCCTGAAATACTCTTCCTTCAGGTGTTCCCCAGGACAATGACATCTCAGCTCACATTATGTGTCATCACCTCTACACTGTCTCATACCGTCCCTGTAAGGTCACTGGAATTATCTCCATTATTATTACATCACTGTGTTGTCCGTTCCCCTACCAGAACGTCAATTCCACAAGGGTGGAAAATTTTTGTCTGTTCTTTTTGGGGAGTTTATGTTTTCCCTTTGTCTCTTCTGTCTCCACCGTCTTTGGCTGTGTCTCCTACAAATTTCTCTTTTAAAAAAGAAAAAGTCTGCAAAAGAACTCTTGGGAAAGCCAATGACAGATTGACGGCGTCAATCTGCTACCGGTTCGGGTACCAGGGTCCGAGGAGCTGTGGGCGCATTGGGGCTGCCGGTGGAGCCGCTGGAGTCCAGTCCATCTCTCTGGGGCGATGAGCGCTCAGAGCGGCTGGAGCTGGGGTCCAAGTCCTGGGGTAGACAGCGGCGCAGGCCGCCTGAAGCCCCAGGAGCGCTTTCAGATAACTGGACACTGCTMGGGCCTCGGCTGCAGGGACGGCGGCCGCAGCAGACAAGGCGCAGGAGCGCATGGCGCAGGTCACGGTTGGTGAGCGTGTAGATGATGGGGTTCAGAAGCGAGTTGGCCATGGCCAGGCCCAGGAAGGGGTCGGCCTGCAGGAGCACAGGACAGGCGCGGGCGGGGCATGCCACGTCTAGTAACAGCAGCAGAAAGAGAGGGCCCCAACACACCACGAAGGCCAGGAGTACCACGCTGAGTGTGCGCAGCAGCGCCAGAGATCGTGGTGTGCGGCGCGAGCGGGTGGAGGTGCCTTTGCTAGCCCCTGGTCGTGCTCGCAGTCGCCGTGCATTGGCTCGTACCTGGCAGTAGATGCGCGTATAGAGTGCACAGATGGCCGCCAGGATGCCCACGAAGGCKAGGACGCAGAAGAGCACGTATGCCTTGGCGTAGAGCGGCAGGACAGTGGAGCAAGCCTCCAGGCGACCCAGACAGTTCCAGCCGAGCGCGGGCAGTAACCCGAGGAGCAGCGATACGCTCCAAGCTGCGATGGCCATCGCCAGTGTGCGCCCTCGACTGGCAGCGGGCGCGGGTCCCCGGCGCGCCATGGTGAGATGGCGCTCGAGTGCAATGGCCAGGAGGCTCAGCACCGACGCGGCAAGCGCCACAAAGACGCCTCCTTCACGAGCGAACCAGAGCGCAGGTGACAATCGAAGCGTGAGTGGCCCGGACAGTAGGATGTTAATGGCGTAGGCAGCACCTGCCAGCATGTCAGACAGTGTGAGGCTGCCCAGGAGCAGGAACATGGGCGCATGGAAGCGCGGATGGCGCCCGAGCACGAACAACACCGCCAAGTTCTCCAGCACGATAAATGCGCATACAGCCAGGCACACCACTGCGTCTGCACGCAATCCTGCGCCGGGCTGGTAGCGCGCTCCGCGTAGCTTGCCGGTGTAATTGTAATGCAGGACAATGACCTCGCTCACCGGCGCTGGTCGCAGCAGCCCTGACTCCATGGGCTGCTGCCCCAAGGCTGCGAAGAAGACAGGGCAGTGTCAGTAGGGCTGTTCTCTCTGAGGACTGTCCCAAAGCCAGCAAGGTAGGAACAGACAAGGTCTAGAAGGCCCAGGGAAAGGGTCCCTAACCCCAACCCACTACGCTCTCACACTCGCTCAGGAGAGGTTCAAAGAGCGTTCGGGATGGGAGGGGAGTATCTATGGAGAAGATACACACGCTTAATATCAGGAGGGGACAGGATGACGCACAATTCTCTATAAAAGGAACACTAATAACACAAGCAGGAATATCCAGAGGCATATTTAATCATGACAGGAACACCCAAAAACACGAGAGACATGCAGAAAGAGACACACAAGCACAATAACAGGAGTACTTGTGCACACACGTTCACAGACAAGGGCAAAAATAGTTTTGCCCCACCAAACAGAAGAAAAAAGCGAAAATACATTCAGACATGGGACTAGTGACAAAAGCAGAGAGAGATAAGCAAGAACGCAAAATTCAGTCTCATGAAGACAGGGCTCACACTGTAGCACAGGCCACAAATTCACAACCTCCATCCACCCACACCCAGCCTGCAACTCAGAGCCCCACACTCCACACGCCCTGCTACACACAAGGTTCTTTCCTGGAGAAAAAAAAAAAAAAAAAAAAGACAGTGAGAAACCTAATTCTACCCACCCATTTGTCAGAGGCAGAGCTCAAGGGCAGTGGTCAGAATCCTTAGCATAGACAGGCTTTTGCAGAGAGACCCACATGTCATTAAATCAAAATAATACTTTGCACTAACGAGTGTGCCCTTTAATCCTCTTGACAATTCTATACTAAGTCCCAATTTCCAGATGAGGAAACTGAGGCTCAAAAGAAATAATTCACATGGACGCTGGGGCAGAGGTTTTCTGACTCTCACATAAACACAGTCACGGAGATGGGCTGGGATTGTGGCTCAGCGGTAGAGCGGGCACCTACCACAAGTGAGGCCCTGAGTTCGATCCTCAGCACCACATAAAAATAAAAAGGTATTGTGTCCAAGTACAACTAAAAATTAAATATAAGGAAAAAAAACCACAAAACAGTCACACAGAAATGGTTTCACAGTCTCGCGGCTCCTACTTAACAGACAAGAAATCCAAGGCTGGGGAACAGAATTTTTTGCACACCGCCAGGGATAAGTGCATCTCAGAAAGCTTCAGTCGCATACCGGGAGCCACCCGCCAATTCAGACACACGGGGAGTCACTGATTCAGCCTCCCTGGGGGCGGGGGAGGCTCCAAATACACGGAGACGCGGGTTACGCAGTGTCTGACCCGCACGGCGCGCAGAGGCGCCTAGCTTCTGCACCAACCCCCTCGACCAGGACTGAAATAGCGGAACTTGGAGTAGTCTGTCCAGGAAAGGGAGAGGGCAAGGTTTTCCGAAAGCCCCCAGCCCCATCTCGGACCCTGAACCTCGCCAGGGAGTCGTCGGCTTTCCCTCCCCAGAAGCCTCGGGAAAAGGATCGGGAAAGCCCAGGAAGGAGTCCTGTGCGTTTCCAGGCCCCAGAGTGGGCAAGGCATGCAGAGCCCGGTGCCCTCAAGGGTCTAATGCTGGATACTCACCAGTGTGCCCAGGTGGTGTGCTGCCTACAGCCGAATGTGCAGCTTGGGGGCGGGTCTGGGGTTGGGAGTCTAGGGGGCGGGTCCCAGGCGGGGAGGGACAGCGATCGCAAGCGGTTACCCCTCCCGTTGGGACCTGGGCACTCAGCCCGTGGCTGCCAGCCTGTGCCACCCGCCGCGGCACCGGAGAGTGCCCCGGCGGCGACTGGCACCGGCGAGCCCTCAGCTTCCCGCTCGGGGGCTGGGCTGCGCTCCCAGGGACGCTCCGTCGCTGTGAGAGAACCTGGAGCCCTGCTTAGGGAAGGTTTCTTCAGCGCGGGCGGCCCCCACCTAAAGAGCTTTACCCCACTCCCATCAAAGAGATCCTCTAGAGCCTCAGCACCGCCACTCCTCACTTTCCACACCCTCCTGCGTTGCGCCCCTGGGACCTCCCGTTAACCGAGGACCAGGCAGCGCAGATTAGCAGGGGTCTTGAGCAGGGGCGGAGGTCCTCCAGCTCGTGTCCTCTCGCCATTGCGGATAAGTCCCTACCGCTCCCAAGCAGAGGCCCCTCCCCATTTCCCTCCAACTCCCAGCTCGGGGAGAATGGGGGAGGGGCTGACACAGGCAGGATTCAAATGGGAACTTCCCGGTCCCCGAATAAGGAGGGTGTGAATCGTCTAGCCTCCTGGTTCCTGCATTCCCCGCACCCATTCTTGTCGCTCCTGAAGAGGTGATTTACTTATATGTTGTGTTCTGGGCTCTGTCCCCACTGTACTGTCAGCCAGTCGCCTCCACGGGAGCAGGGTTGGTACTGTCATCGGTACTATAGAGACAGCCAGTAAGTACCCACTGAGGAGTATGAATGAATGAATGTTTCCTTCACTTCCTCTGTGTCTCTCCTCGATTCTCTCAAAGTCTCTGTTCTCCCTCTCCCCATCTCTGTGTCGCTCTCCCACGCCTCTCCCAGGCCGTACCTCCTCCAACCCGCCAGTCCCAGCTGGCCACACACCAATCCTCCCCTCAGTTCCCGGAGCTTCCTGGAGGGCCCAGCTCCCCAGCCCTCAGACCAGAGGCCACAGCCGGGAAGGGGCCTGGGTCTGTCCTTCCTTGGGACATGCCCTTTGCCTGGTCTCTCCAGGCACTGCTGGCAGCAGGTGGGGTGAGGATGCCCCACGAGAGATGAGACAGAAGTCGAGGATGGGGATGGATCGAGCAGTGTCCCTGTGGGAGGAATCATGAGGGCGCCCAGGTCAGGYCCCCTATATAACCCTTTAGGAATCCCCGCAGATCGCGCCCTGGTGTGTTCCCTAGGGAATCCTGGCGGCTTCCGCCCCCGCGGTTCCCGAGTGGGCAGAACTGCTCCTGCTGGCTCAGGCCAATCATAGACACGCGCGGGGGCAGTGCAACTAATAGGATCCCTGGGGGAGGGGCGTTAACCCTTCAGTACCCAGGTCCTTCGGCCGGAAAACTAAGCCGAAAAGAGAGCCRAAGATCCCCCAAGGCCGTGGTGGCCTCTCCTAGCACCAAATAGGTGCCCGATAAAAGACCTCCTTCTTCAAGGGGAAACAGCACCCCAGGGGAGTGAGGTGGCCCCTTCACACCTCCCAGGCGGCAATCTCACCTCCCTGTGGGGCAGAGTRGTGCTCTTCCGGCAGTGGGCCCCAGGCTTAGCACCCTCCACTCTGGCCTCCTCCCTTTGTGCCTCTTTCCCACGGAATGGGACCCTGGGGACTCAGGCTGCGGCATATGGGGCAGATGTCAGGAGTCCCCTGGAGAAACGAGGCTCCCATCCCTAATGTCTGCTCCACCATGAAGCCACAGTTCTTAATATACAGACTGGTCTCTCTCCGGCTCTAAATCCTCTCATGGTTGCTCAGAGTAAACTGTCCTCCGAGAGCCCACAATTATTTACTTGTCCCTTCTATACACCCCAGCCGCATCACGCACTTAGTTCCAGCCCCACTGGCCTTCTCGGTCTTCAGACACCTCAAAAGCTTTGAATTTGAAGATCAATCTACCTGGAATGTCCTTCCCCAAGCTTTTCCCAGCAGACATCTCCTCAGGGAGGCCTTCCCTAATCTGTCCCTCTCCTCCCCATTCTCAAATGGCAGTTGGCATATCTACAGTTAATTTGTTCATTTGTTCATCTGTGTGTCTCTGCCCTAGAGACTCAGTTCCAAGAAGGCAGGGATCCCTGCSCGTCCAGCTACCCAGATGTGGAAAGGTTAATGGTTCCGAGTCTGGAGTCAGGTCAGCCACTTGGTGATTTAGAACACTGGGAAGGACCCCTCTGAGCCTTAGTGGTTTCATATGTAAAATAGTGGTTTTATCTGTAAAATTGAGATAATCACAGTGCCCACTCCCAGGACTGTGGAGCATGAAAAGTTTTGTTGTTGTTGTTGTTGCTGTTGTTTGTTTGTTTTTTGTTTTTTATGTGGTGCTGAGAATAGAACCCAGGGCCTCAAACGTGCTAGGCAAGCGCTCTACCACTGAGCCACAACCCCATCGCCCCCCCCCCAGCATGAAGAGTTTTAATAAAGATTGGGTGTACTATGAGAGCTCCATAAATATTAGTATAGGTTAGCATTGATTGCCACTATATCCCCAACCCTCAGACAAATTAGGAAGGATCAGGGTTCAGGCCCCATCTGTCCAGGGYACCACCACCCCCACCCCATCCCCACTCCCACTCACCAGGCAGTCAGGTTTCACCCTTGGCCTCCCTGATCCTGCTGCAGCCTGCCTGCCCAAGGCTTGCCTGGGCCAGCACACCTGCCCAGCAGGTTCTGCTGGGCCCTCGCCCACAGGGGCTGCCCCGCCCAGTCTGTGCCCACTCTCTGGCAGAGCAGGGTCTATGTCTTGCATGGCCCCTTCACACCCCTGACCCACCCTGGGAGCCAGTAGGCTGCTTCAGCAGGAAGCTTCAGAGCTTCCTATTCCCACCCCTCCTCCACGAAATCCTGACACTTGAACTTGACAGCAGGAAGGTGTGAACTGACAACTTTCCCATGGCCAGAAATCAGAGCCACAGGGTTTGTGGGGGGTGGTCTCAAACTGGAGGCCAGAGGACCAACTTTGGCTCCTACCCACAGGCCGATATGTTCAGCTCAGTCAGATTTCCCTCTCAAACAGCAGTCAGAAAAACTGTATTCTTGTCAGTAAATTTGGTTCTCACAGATGTACAGCTTAACAATTCTAAAGATATTTGCATGCTAGAGTTGAACAAGTACAATGATGTTGTAGATATTGGAGCCAGGTTTTATGCTATTGGAGAAGGAAGGTTACAAATAAGTTACAAATAAGCAATGTGGTGCTGGACTGGAGTTATCAGTATATCATGTTTCTCTTAACACAGAAGAAAATATAGATACCTGTGTATACATGGGTTAGTACATATATACAGAGACACTGCTATGGTT